AAAAATAAAATTAATTATAAATAAGATTAATTAATATAAATTACTTATTCATCTGATTTAGTAGTGATCAGTAATTACTACATCATATACTGCAGCTGCATCATATACTGCACCATATCTACTGCATTACATCTACTGCACTATATGAATAGATAATTAGTTATAATATTGATAAATATATTTACTGATTATGTTTAATTAGGATAAATAATTAATTAAAGATTTTATAAAGTAATATATAATATTTTTTATACATAATAGTTAAAAATATAACTTGTGATAAATGTGATTTAAATCTTTTCACTTATCAAAAATATTAGTAATATTTAAATCAATTTAAGAATCTTTCTCAAGCTCTAATTCTAGTGCAAAATGTAGAAAATGTTACTTTAGAGCAAAATCAAGCACTAGTTCTAGAAAATGATCTTATATCATTCAATGAAAATTTACCAATATTTTAGCCAAGAGAGACAAGTGTACCAATAGAAAATGCAGAGATAGGACCTAGTACAGAACAAAATAAAATTATCTTGATTTATAAAAATATATCAAATGATATTGAGTTTTATAGTAGAAAAAGAAAATGATATGGAGTTAAAAAAGATTTCTGTGCATTATCTAATAAGTACTATTTTATTAAAGCAGATAATAGTAAAATAATTATAGAAGCATATAAAAGAATTAATGAAGAATCAGAAGCTATAGCGGAAAAAACAAATAGGCAGGTTGATATGTAGAAATCAGGAAGTTATATTTTGACAAGTTTAAAACTTTTTCAAGAGACAATTTTAGCATCAAACAGAAGTAAAAAAATAGATGAAAAAGAAAATGCATGGTTAAATTTAGCATCAACTGGTGCTTTGGTATTTGCAGAAAAATATGAAGGAGAAGCTAATCAATATGATAAATTCAATGTATATATTTGAAATGATAAAAAAAGAAGCGTCATGGCCAATTACATTAGGTAAGTTTCATATTATAAACTCATCTTTTACAGGGGATTTATAAAGCAACAATAGAAGGAAATCCTCTAAAGAAAAGCCTTCAATGCACGAGATATTTGCGATATAATCCACATGGAATTTATACGCATTATGATTTAGAATATACTAAGAAGAATGATCTAAAAGTATATTTAATGAATGAATCACCAAATGCACTTATATATGAAAAAAAATTACTGGAAGTGATATGTTTGGAAAATGGGGTAATATATTATACAACATTAAGAAAGAAGGTGAAACCGCTGGAAAAGTAAGTAAAACATTATTAGTTTCATTATGGTGTGCCTTATGTGAACAAAGAAATAGACAAAATTATGGCGCACATCCATGAATAAAACCCTTCTTGCTAGCATCAGCTCAAAAAACAATATCAGAAATTGTAAAACCTTTAGGAGACCAGGTAAAACGTATACATACAGATGGCTTTATTATAGTCAGAAAAGTAGAGCTTAAAACAGAATAGAAATAGGTGACCTAAAATTCGAGAAAAGAGGAATTTGTATAGTAAAAAATTGTATTAGTATTGGAAACCATACTCACAAATAATATTGAACCAGACTACAAAAAGATAAAAAGCAGGATTCGAAGTTGATGCAGATTATAACTAAAAAAATAGATATAAATCTTCCAAACGAAATTATAATAGAAATATTCCAATATTTATGAATACAAAATGATAGATTAGCCACGGAGTATTCTGTTTCGCAGTGTGCTAATAATGAATTGTTATTTTTATTTAATATGGAGAAGTACATTATATAGATACAATATTAGAGATTTTGTTAATAAAAAAGAAATCATTACCGAATATAATAAAATATATAAAACAGCTAGAATTTGAAAGAATAGATAATTATTTTATATACGAATGAATTTTTATTAAAGAAATTAAAGATATATGCCAAGATATAATAACCATATCATTTAAGGATTGTGGTTAGGGATTTCTTAATAATAGTTCACTAAAAATAACATTGGATACAAGCAAGAATCTAAAGTATATATTTATCTATGGAAGTAAACGAATAGCACCAAAACAATTTTAAGTATACCAGAAAAATGTAGAAATATAAAAACTATAAAAATACAAAATTGCGAGATTGATAAGTTATTAAAAAAGAACAACATATAAATAATACAGAAGTTGATTAAGCCATAGAAAATATATTAGATGAAATTTAGTTTACGGTAAGAGATAAGTAAGAGATAAGTAAGCCGTAAAACATATTTAGGAGATATTTGCCTTTTTTCTCTCATGTTCGAAAAAAAGATATAAATAGTTATCCAGTCAAAAATAATATATTGATAACTGTAATAATCTAGCTTCGAGTAATGAAATTATGAGAAAATAGGATAATAAAACTCATATGTGTCTGTGACACTAGCTCCGTTATTAAATAAAACTTATATTATATAAAACAAAATACAAAGTAAGTATAAAGTAAGTATGACAGACAATAGTTCAAGTTTAATAAATGAGCAGGACTCAGAGTTAATGATACAAGATATTATGTGGAAAATGATTGAATCAGCATAAATCAAAATAATAAAAGAGGCCTTTCATCTTCGATATAGAAAAAATAGTAAACTTATTAGTGAATATGCAGGATATGTAAAAAATTTGCATAATGCGAATAACCAAGATGAGTATATAAAATATACAGCAATAACGCTTTTCCCAAATGATGAAGCATATAATAAAAGAATGGCAAGATATAGAAATTGGTTTCAAAGTAAAAAGGAACTACTTACCAGTATAGAAGATTTATATAATCTTTATTATGAGCTTTCTAAAAAGGATCAGCCTATGACTGAAACAGAAATTGAGAAAGCTATTGAGGATGTACTTATAGACGAGTAATTTAATATTGTTTAAGAATCCATTTAGGTGGAAACTCAACTTACCAACTTTCATCAATTGTTTTCTCACGAATGATCTTTCAGGTCCATCACCATTCTCATCCATAAGCCAGTATAACACCGGTTGATTTTTTTGTATTAACGATTCTTTAATGTGATAAACTTTTGGAGACCAATTCATATCAGTTAAGTGTCTCCCGCCAAATTCTAATTCTCAGGGTTCGAGTAAATATAAAACCGAATCTTTATAGGTTAACCGAGGTTCATCAAATCCAATAGGTCTACGATGTTTTA